CTGGGACCAAGGAGACACTGTCAAAAAGAAAAATAAATAAATAAATAAATAATAAATAAATAGATGTTAAAACTAATAAGCAAATTCAGGCGCTTGGCAAAATACAAGCTCAATATTTAAAAACAAATCAAGAGTATTTCTAGCAGTGAAAAAATGCATGCCAACAATGAAAGTAACAAAAATGGACATTTTATAAAAGTGCTGCTTGTAGGGGCTGGGGAGATGGTTCAGTCAGTATAGCACTTGCCATAAACATGAGGACTTGAGTTAGGATTCCCAGCATTCATGTGAAAGAGCCAGGCATGGTGGTGTGCACCTGTAACCCCAGGCCTGGGGAGGCCGACAAGCAGATCCCTAGAGCTCGCTGGCCAGTCAGCCTATCTGAATCAGGAAGCTCCAGGTTCAGTGAGAAATCCTATCTCAAAAACAAGGTGGAGCAAAGGAGAAGGACACCCTAGGCTGACCTCTAGCCTCCACATGCACGTGCACACATGTGTACACACGCACACATGCACACACAAATGTTTATAATTATATCAAAATATTAAATATTTAGAGGTATATTAATGAATACAAGACCTTTATACCCAAAGTAGAAAAACATTACTGAGAAAAATTAAAGATCTGAAAAATAGAAAATAAAATCACAATTGTGTTCAAGATTGGAACATTCAGTATGATTAAATCATCAATTCCCCCCTCAAATAAGCTGTAGTTTCAATCCAAACAAAATTAAAACCTGAATGTGCTGTTTTGATAGAAATAAAAAAGTCAATGCTACAATTCTTTGGAGAAGCAAAGGAATTAGGAAAGCCAACAACTGAAGATCAAAGCTGAAGGTTAGAGGAACGATGGTGAGCTGGCCTGGGGATACAGTGCTGCAGCAATGGCACTTGAGAAGCTGTGCAAAGACAGACATAGCTGCACTGCTGCAGCAGTTTCTCTTTTGTTTTTTTGTGTGTACATCTTCATGTAGTGTGTGTGTGTGTGTGTGTGTGTGTGTGTGTTCACATGCATGCAGGTACACCTGGGTGGGTGCATTGCACACAGAGGTCAGAGTTGATATCCAGCGTCTTCTTCAATCACTCTCCACCTTATATACTGAGACATAGCCTCTCATTTGAACCAGAGCTCATTGATGTGGCTACTTTTCCTGAAGGCTGAGATTACACGTGGGCCACCACACCCACTGGCATTTACATGGGTGCTGGGAATCCAAACTCCAGTCCTCACATGTGCATAGCAAGTGCTTTTAATTCTGAGCCATCTCCTCGGCCCTGAAACATTGGTTTTCTACTTCAGAACCATATAAAATTTTTGATGTGCAGAAGACCACCAAGCATAACTTGCAAACAAAAACAGAAGAGATGAGGGAAACGAATGTCTTGACTGTTAATCCATCCCAACACTCAGGTATGGCATAGACGGGTGAGGAGGCAGATGACTCAAAAGACCTTTAGAGGGGGCTGGAGAGATGGCTCAGCGGTTAAGAGCACTGACTGTTCTTGCAGAGGACCTGGGTTCAATTCCCAGCACCTACATGGCAGCAGTTAACTCCTTAACTCCAGTTCCAGGGGATCTGACACCCTCTTCTGACCTCCACGACATTACACAACATGGGTGCACTTACATACATGTAGGCAATATACTCATACACATAAAATAAAAATAATAAATAAAATATATTTTAAATAGATCTTTAGAGAAAACTTTGGAGACAGCATGAAGTGGGATGTAGGTGTGTGGGTGTGTTGCGTGTGTGTGCATGTGTGTGTTTCTGCATATGCAAGAGGGGGCGGATTCAGAGAGCGGAAGTATATTCAAGAACAGAAGTGACAGATGAGGGAAGACAGAGAAGGCACCCCCCCCCGCACTTCCCTGATACCCAGCGTCCCACTGCAACAGTTAAATGGAGGTTATTGACTTCATCGGGAGGCAGAGGCAAGACGGGTAAAACAACAGCAGGAAAGGCCACGGGGCAGACATTTTGAGAATCCTGATGGGAGTCATGGTTACACCAAGCGTGTCTTTATTGAAAACGGTGATTATAGGTAAATTGGAAGGGCAGAGAAAGTATACAGGAGACTGAAGGAGTTAACTCCGTATCAGGAAACTCATGTGACTCAAAACAAAGTAAAAACCAGTAATACAAGCATTCGATTTAGAACAAGGACTCAAATATCAAAGAAATGGTAAACATAATTGAAAATGGTTTCTTGTGAGAGCAGAAAATGAGTGGGAAGTCGTAAGGAGACTGCTGTTTTTCATAACCATAACCCTTGGAGTACCATTTTTAAAGTCATATGCACATATTACTCTGATAGTTTTTACTTTTCATTGGAAGAAAGAACTTTAAAGGGCAGTGACAATGTGGGAAATGCAGGCCCCAGCCTCTCTGGGCAGTAGGTGTCAGGGAAAAACAACCGAACATCCAAGACCAAAATAAATCAACTCAACCCAAGTCTCAAACCTGTGCAAAAAGTAACTTCAAATAGGGCTTAAGAAAAGACACAGGGAGAAATTCTTTGGGATCTAAGGCTGAGCAGAAAATGCCAACACTCTGTCCCAAAAGCACAGTTTATACTGGAAAACTGATACACAGAAATTGATCAGGATTAAAAAAGTATTAAAAAATTCTGATGTGTAAATGATGTTATAAAAAGAATACACTGCAGGGGCTGGAGAGATGGCTCAGTGGTTAAGAACACTGACTGCTCATGCAGAGGACGGGGTTTGATTCCCAGCACCAACATGACAGTTAAGAACCGTTCTTAACTCCAGTTCCAGGGGAATCTGACGCCCTCTTCTGACCTCTGCAGCATTGCATGACACGGGGGCATTTACACACATGTAGGCAATATATTTGTACACATAAGATAAAAATAATAAAATATTTTAAAAAGAGTACACTGCAAATTGTGTGTGTGTGTATGTGTGTATCAAAAGACTTCTATTTGGCCTCAACAAAGACCTGTCAAAACTCAGCAGTAAAAATGGAAACAATGAAACAATAGAATTAGAAAATGGGCAAAGACAGGAAGAGGCCTTTCACTCAAGAGGATACACATGGCAAATAAGCACATGAAAAGATGCTCAGCATCTTCATCAAAGTAGCTAGAATTAAAAGTAGCAGCAACATCAAATGCTGACAAAGATGTGGAGAAACTGAACCATACAGCTGCTACTGGGGATGGAAAATGGTATGGCCACTCTGGTAGCTTAGCAGTTTCATTCAATTTACAAAAACAAAATTCATGTGATGAAGATCTAAATAGCAATTTTTAATTCTATTTATTATTTTTTAAATTTTATTTATTATTTTTATTTTATGTGTATGCATGTATTGCCTACATGTACGTAAGTGCACCCATGTTGTGCGATGCCTGCAGAGGTCAGAAGAGGCTGTCGGATCCCTTGGGACTGGAGTTATGGACAGTTGTTAGCTTCCATGTGGGTGCTGGAATTCGAACCCAGGTCTTCTGCAAGAACAGTCAGTGTTCTTAACCGCTGAGCCATCTCTCCAGTCCATAAGGTAAGGTTTTTAAAGTACTAGAAAAACATAGCAGAATAACTTCAGGGACAGTAAGATTCTCTCAGAGGGCACAAAATGTAAAAATTATCAACAAAAAGATTGACAAATTTTACTACATCAGAAGAAGAGCTTTCATGTCCTCCAAACAAAATTCAATGAGGCAAATAAAGCAAAAACAAACAAAAAAACACTTTGCTAAATTTAAAGATAAGTGACAAACTGGGGAAAGAATGCTATTAATATCACCATATGTAAAGATTCCCTACAAATCACTAAGACAAAGCAAATTACCTCAAAGAAAATGAGCAAATGATGAAACTCAGACATAAGAAAATATGAGTAAGCTCACTAGCGATTGTAGAAAGGCTAAAATTAAGATTGAATACCACTTTTTTTGTTTTTGGTCTTTTCGAGACGGTCTACCTGTAGCCCCAGCTGTCCTTGAACTCACAGAGATCTGCCTGCCTCTGCCTCCCGAGTGCTGGGATTAAAGGCATGTGCCACCATGCCCAGCGAATACCACTTTTATGCAGGAATGCTTGACAGAAATTAAAGTCTAGTGGCACCAGTGTGGGTGGCAAGCATTCACACATTGACATACTGTGGCTGTCTTGGAGGGTCCCTCGGCAATATCTACTATCATTTAAAATGTGTCTTCAGTCTGACTCAGCAATTTCAGTTCCTAGAAGACTTTCTCATCTGCATTTACAGAGGCAGATAAAGGATATTCACTGTTGCCAGGAATAGGGATATGGTATATGTAATGAAAAATATGAAGTTATTAAAAATAGTGGTCTAGATCTACGCATGACCCAGAAATAACTACAAGAAAGAGTGATGCACTTTGCAAAGAAAACTTTAGAACCATATGCCTAAGATGATCTTGAATTTACAAAACAGAAAAAAATAAAACCGTTATATATGTAACAGTAAGCACAGACACAGATATGACAATATTCATACAAAGTCATTAACAGAGGTTATGATCTAGGGAGGAGGACATTAGGATGCCATTGGAAATCATAAAGTAAGGAAACTTTCACAATATTAAATTTTTTCCATTTATTTTATTCTGGAACATAGCTATGTGCCAACTGTCATTAAAAACTAACTATGCAATACTTAAGACTGTGTCTGGCATATCTCAGGTGCTCAGAAAATGCTAATTAAAACTTTCTAAAAAATTGATAAAATATTTTGAAAGTATTGAAACTTTAAATATCAAGGATCACAGTGAGGATGGTTCCGTGGCCAAGGGTCTGTCTAACAGCATATCACAAGGCCTTTGTACACGACAGAATTCTTCTTGGTGCTGATTTTCAAAATGTGATAAAAACCTGAAACTAGGAACCAGTGAACAGAAGAAAGTCAAAGTCTCAGTGCAGTCACACAGACAGACTCAGCAACACTCAGGCACAAATGTGCCTCACTAACACCCCACATGGCACACTTCAGATGGCTAATTTACCTGTTGTCTTTGCTGTAGAACTGGTGGAAACCCCGTTGAGCTCACTGGAACTCCTGTTCACGGGCCTCGGCTTGTAATCTCGCTTAGGGATGCTGGATGCAAATGATATTCTGTAACACACATGGGAAGCAGAGTCAGACCTCTGTCCCAGACAGCAGAGCCTCCCAGCACCTTCATTCTCCTGGGAGGAGGACAAGACCCAGCAGGGTCCAGAGAGCAATGTTTGCATGCTGACTCCTGAGAGTCCAGAGTGTTAGGGATGTGCCCCACATGCAGTTCTTCAATTATAACTTTGAGTTTCCTGTTGGAATTCATCTGGAAAAGATGGCCTCAAAATGTCTGGAGACACTTAGCAAGTGGGCACTCCCCAGTTGCTGGCTGCCTTCTTCCCTCTTTGCTAGAGAGGGAGCTGTCAAAATCTGCTCACATGACACCGAGATGGCCACCTGCCTACAGAGTCAGATGTTGCAGAGACTGTCTTCCCTCTGATTCAGCACTGATTCAAGCAAAACTCCCTCTGAATAGATCCATGACCATAATCCTATGTAAAACAATTTTCTGTTATCAAGCCTAGTCAAAACATAGGTAGGTTTTTTTAAACCAATATTTTGATTACTGGCCTTACTGGACACATTATAAATGATACTACTGATTTTTCAGAAAGTAGAGACTACATTGGTCATAAAAGCCATGGACAGAGAGAAACATTTCTTTGACCATTCAGAAGGTATAGTCAACTCTTTCTGTTCCTAGTATCGTCATATGATTAGGACCTGATAGCTTTTTTACATAGTTCTGAATATTTGGGTCTCTCCACATCTCTAGATATGGGGGATGAAGCATGTGTCATCACTACCCCCAATTGGTCAACAGGGAGCTAATCCCTTAGCAAGTCAGCAAGGAAACCAAGACTGCTCTTCTGTCTTGTCCATCTTCGTCAGGACTGCCAAGGCTATAAACACGGGAAGGACTTCAATAAAGAGAAAAGCTGTCACAATCCTTTCCCTAGTTCTATCCTGTTGGCCCAAGCTACATATTTATTATTAGTCTATCTCATACCCAACCTGAAAGCCAGCTAGAGAAAATTCAAAACAAGACTGGAAGACAGGGAGATGATTTCTCTTCTGCTGAACTCTGCAGCCCTTTGCTTGGGGAAAGCAGAGGCACTTACCTCACCTGTAGCTTGTTCTGCAGCTCCTGCAGGATCTCTGTGGACTGCCTGTGATAGTCTAACGCTGCCTCTATAAACACAGCCAGTTGGCCAACTTGCTCTACCTGCGGCAGAAGTGCAAAGTTACTCCATGGAAACAAGAGCCCAAGCAGAATGTCAGAGTGGGGAGCCCTGCAAGGAAGGCTCAGTTCTGCAGGGCAGTTCAGCATCCTGCCTCCACCCTGATCCATTTCATCTCATCCCATCTGAGTCCTGCACAATCATAATTCAGTCAGAGGGACAGGGCTGTGGATGCTAGAAAAACACAGTCGAATTTATTTATGATTATGAATCTGATGTAACTCCACCAAATGCCTTCTTTCCAAGTTGGATGGTGATGTTCTTAGACTATTTTTTATGCTCTAAAACTCATGGATCTGAACATGGAGGGAGAAATTTTTTCCCAACTATTAGTGAAACCAACATTTAGTAAAAGATCATTCTTACTGAGGTGCCTGTGTCTACTTTTTAGCTAAGTGCAATCAAGAAACAAAGTCAACTAAGGCATGCTCAGAAAAGTCAGGGGTATCAGGCAAGTCACACATGCTCCAAGGTAAAGAATGTGTTTTTGTTGCTAGCAATTTAAAATGTTGGGTTTTTTTCCTGAAACATAGCAGAAAAGAAAGGGCTATGGAGGTGCCCGCATTTCCCAAACTAAAACACTAATAAAAGGAGTGGCCAATTACACTGCAATTATCTTGTGTGGGGGTTAGGGCAAGTGTCTCATGTAGCTCAAGCTTGCCTCAAACGGATTATGTAGCCAAGGCCCGCCTTGAACTCCTCCTGATGTTCCTGCCTCTGCTTCCCAAGTGCTATGGGTTTTCTATTTGTTTAAAATTTTAAAAAGCCATGTAACAAAAGTCCAGAAGGTCTACAGAAACATAATTTGAGGAAGAGCAATCTTCAGGAGGGCCCAGGGCCTGAGGTGATATTTCTCCTCCAGCCCTTTACTCCTAATCTCAGAACTCCAGATCTGGACAAAAACACAAATCAAAATCACACTTCCCTAAAGTCTCTGCATCATTTTCTTATACCATTTTCTAGTCATCTTCCGGGCATCAAAGCTGCCTGCTTCTTCCTCCTGTGTCTGCTCTCCCCCTCCACAGTCAACCAGGGACTCATTTACTTTCAAAGATCCATACTGATTTTGGGTATCACTGAATAAAAAAGTTTTTAGTTGGGCTGGGCATGGTGGCGCATGCCTTTAATCCCAGCACTCGGGAGGCAGAGGCAGGCAGATCTCTGTGAGTTCAAGGCCAGCCTGGTCTACATAGTAAGTTCCAGGACAGCTGGGGCTAAAGGGAAACCCTGTCTCAAAAAAAAAAAAAAAAAAAAAAAAAAAAAAAAGTTTTTAGTTGGCTGTTCTTTACTCTTCTTACCCACTTCTGTTATTTTAAACACGGGCTCATTGTGTATTTAAGATATACATGGAATCCACTTATGCCAAAAATGCTATGGGCACATGACTAAGGAAACCCCTGGCGTCGTACTTACTTTACCAGGCTCTGTGGCTGGAAAAGCTACATCAGCCTTACATTTCCAAAAACCCAATAAACAAAACAAAGACAGCCTGGCCCCTGCAAAATCCTAAGGATTTCTTAAATTTCACCTCCTTGGCTTTTACGAATACTTCTGAATAAGTCCAGCACCACAGCCTGACATGACCATGGCAGAATTTGCTAAAGAAAGAATTTTGCTTCCTTACAATGCTAGAGTTGTGTGCCTCATAAATATCGGTGCCGCCTCTCTGTCTTTAGAAATAGTAATCTGTCCTACTTTGTACCCTTCTTTGAAATAGGCTTGCCATTTTATAATTTTTAAAAGATAGTGAAAGATAGTTAAATGAATATTCCTTAGCATGCTGGGGTTGGGAGGGGGAGTGTCTGGGAATCACCAACTAGTCTCTCTGATGTGACTAAGATTATGCAATCTAGAAATGCACCTGTAACCAGTTGCTTGATGGCTGACTCTGGAACAGTCACAGGTCCCTGCGCCCCTAAAAGCTTGGGAGACAGGAGCAATTCTACTGAGGTACCTGCACACAGTAGGTGCCCAGGGTAAGCCCCGAAGGTTGGTGCTAAACTCAGCACCTCTCTTACTAGAGGGAAGACGTGTCACACTCAAACTAGACTGTCTTCTGCCACTATCAGAAAATGGACGCTTTCAGTTGCTCCCCAGGCCATGGGCATCAGGCTGTGTGCTGGGGCCCAGGAGGAATGTCCTCTGCTTTCAAGACCACAAATAGAATTAAATACCTAGATGGGCAGAACCAAAAGAAAGCAACAAATTCAGGACTCGCAAAAGCCAAAGCCAGACCAGGTGAAACAGATCTTCTATCGGCCTCACCACCTCAGTCTGAAAATCTACCTATGCCTCTGTTCCTGGGTAAAAGCTGTGAACAGGATATTTTGCATACCAAAAAAACTGCAGATAGATTAAATTAGTAATATTGAAATAGGGTGTTATCTTGGATTACATAGGTGGCCTAATGTAATTACAAAGCTGCTTTTGGGCTAAGGATGCATCTCAGTTGACAGAATGCTGGCCTAGCACACATGAAGCCTTGGGTTTGAGCCCAGGACTGCATAAACTTGGCATGGTGACATATACCTGTAACCCCAGCACTTGAAAGGTGGACACAAGAGAGTCAGGAGATCAAGGTCATCCTTACTACACAGCAAGTTCCAGGCCAGCCTTGGCTACATAAGATCCTATCTTACATACAAACAGACATACATAATACATACATACATACATACATACATACATACATACATAGAAAAACAAAAATTTTAAAACAACTCCTTTTAAGAGAGAGAGGAGGGATAAAATAAGAACAGAAGATGGGAAGCAGTAGTCAGAGGGAGAGATTTGAAGATGCTCTGTTGGTGGCTTTGGAGAGGGAAGCTCAGTGAGAGGGACAAGACCAAAGAATGCAGGCGCCCTCTAGAGTCTGGAAAGGGCAACGAAACAGGTTCTTCCTGGGGGGCCTCCAGAAGAAATGTTTTCCTGGCAATTCCTTGATATTGGGATTTCCAACCTCCAGAATCTAAAATAATAAATTTGCATTTCTTTAAGTCACACTGCCTATGGACATTTGCTGCAGAAGCCATTGGAAATGAATGCAGTTGTTTTGGCCTATTCTCAAACCAAGAAAATCTAAGGATATATAGTACCTTTCAGGGGCTCCATTAATGGGGGATGGAAGTTGTTGCCTTAGCTCTACCCAGAGGCTCCATGGTCTTCTCTGAGGAGATGGACTGGGGAGCACCAAAACAAGATGGACTCAATTCCTCTCTTGTGGCAGACTAGCCACGGTTGCATAAGAACCTGTGTCACCTGTGGACACATTCCATTCCATAAGCTCTCTTTAAGCTGTAAGCCAATGGATAATTCCAGGATGTGAGACTATTCAAAGTATCTTGGCTCTGGGGATAGAGGCAGATCTTAGATCCTCCCAGCTACCATGGATTAGAGTCACCAGGAGCTGTGGAAACCTCAGGGACAGAAGTGGGATCTGAGCTTTTAGTCAGGCCTTGTTGACCAAGTACAATGGACTTGGGCTTACCAAAAGGAAGAAGGCTCAACAAGTATAGCCTATAGTAAAGGGCCCTCTAGCTCAACTCTGTGAGAGGACCATGGAGATGGGAAAGAACAGGTCTGTGATACCTTCTCCTTAGACTGTCTAGAGGCAGGTAAATGAGCAGAGAGAGGCACACTCTGAAGACCATGACAGAGAGAAAACTGTGATTAAGTAAGGATGCCCAACCCAGATGCCTGGGATCCATGGTGTGATTGAAGTGCACATCTGTGGATGATGTCAAGTCATAGCCCTTCACAACTGAAATGACACACTCCCTGTGAGGACCATCTTCAACTTCAATTGTGATAATCTAAGTCATTTTTGCCCTATCATATTTAAGATGTCTGCTTTTTTTTTTAATTCCTCTGGGGAGCTGGAAGAAAAATTTTAATGAATTTCTTATAAACAGAGATGCCTTTTTTCTAGTGGACCTGAGTTCCGATCCATAGCACCCACATAAAAAAAAAGCTGGGGATGGGGGCATGAACCTGCAACATCAATGTTGGGGAGACAGAGGCAGGGAGATCCCTGGGGATGGCAGCCAATCTATCCAGATCGGCAATCACCAGGTTTAGTGAGAGACCGTTTCAAAATAAGGTGGAAAGTTATCTAGGAAGATGCCCAGTGTCAACTCCTGGCACACATATGTACACACAAAAGGAAAAAATACTCCTCTAGACAAATGGAAAGAACCTAGAATCCAGAATCTAGTAAGTCCATTGTCCATGGGTGGAGGGAGGGCTCTGATTGGGGGCTCTGTAAACTAGTGGATTCTGTAATAGGAGTCTGGCCTTACTAGGCTGAAATAGATATTTTAAAAATACACTATGTCTGGTTTCTTCTAAGATAAAGGATTGACATTTAATAATGTTAAGTTGTGGGGCTGGAAAGATGGCTTGGTGGTTAAGAACACTTGCAGAAGACCCAGGTTTGAATCCCAGCACCCACATGGCAGCTAGCAGCTGTCCATAACTCCAGTTCCAGGGAATCTGACAGCCTCTTCTGTCTGCAGGCATTGCATGACATGGGTGCACTTACCTACATGCAGGCAATACACATATAACATAATAAAAATTTAAAAAATAATAATAATATCAAGTTGTAAAGAATAAACTTCTTAGGAGAAGTGTTAAACCCACGGGTGATGTGTCAGTCCCCAGAAACTCAATGAAGGCCCAGAACCAACCTCCTGACTGCTGCAGCCGCTCCTAAGAGTGAACTATGGTGGCATAGAGACTCTTTTCCAAAGGGAAGGCCACCCTAGGTGCCCCAAGGGACCCTGGCAGTCCCAGTCTGACACAGAAGAATTCAGTCAAGGGCCTGATCCTGGAAATCCAGAGGATCAAAACACTCCCTGGTTTGAATGGCTGCCTGAAGAGGAATGGAATTGCTCAGTCTTAAGAAGTGAGATGTACTCTCTTGTCCATTCTCCATTCCCAAATCTACATCAAATAGGTGGGAAAATCCATGTGGCTTTTGCTCAGGAACAGTGCAATGAACTCAGATCCCTCGCTATTCTATTCCTTCCTTCGTTCCACATCAACAGTAGAAAAGTGACCTAAGTTGTGCAACAGGGGAGCATCCCTAACTACCAGGATGCCTGATTACATTGAAAATCTGGCTCTGGGCTCTATATTCTTCAAGAAAGCAGGTTGTGAAGTGGCCAAGAGATCCAGGGTGTACCTGGCTTTCTAATCTGCATGCACCTCTTTCACTCCCAGGGGACAGTTCTCAGTTCTGTATTTCAGACCTGGGACAGCTAGCTGAACATTTATGTGAGTGTCAGGCTGGTATGTGGTTCTAGCTAGGCTCACCTGTTGGTTTCTCAGATGGAAGAATGTAGATTTAAGGTAGAAGATGTTTCATGATCTGAAGACTTAAGGACAAAGGAGTGAACCCATCCTAAAAACTACTACAAATGGTCTGGTTGCCAGAAAACCTGAGAAAGAGTTGTATAATCTGCATTTGGAGATGCAGGAAAGACAAAGTCTATCCATTCCACTCAGAGTTCCTCCCAAATCAGACAGAGCTTTGGCAAACATTTTTCTAGGCATGCTCTGGTAAAGCTTTTTCTATATAGCCAGGACAGTGGAGACAGTGACTCCAACTGCCCCTCTGAGGGGTGAAGTTTCAGCCATTGAATTGCTGGTACCATAGTCATATAGGCAGGTGGTGGCCAAGGACCCAAGCATAGCATCCCAAATATTGCCTTTCTTTGGTTTGGGTGCTTCCAAGCCCTAATTCCAGCCTCTCCTCCTGTGGATGAACCTCAGTGATCAGTCTTCAGAGGCTTATGTCAAAGGGTTTGGCAGAGACCATAGGATTACCTCTGATCTAGTTAAATTGTGGATCCTAGGAGTTAGGGGAAGGGACCCTGGACTACAGGGGGAGCTCCTGCATACCTGGGGGTCAAGTCCCTAGGAAGAACACAGAATGTGAGTTCAGAACATGTTCATGCCTGAACAGGACCTAGATTAGGACCCCTGTGGTGCCCTGGATGAAAAACTAGGCCTTACTTTACCAGGGTGGGACTAACCAATAACAAGCAGAGAACTTGTCATTGTCAAAGAATGGAGAAATTATTGCATTTTTATGAAAAAAAAATGGTCTGGGGCTGGAGAGATGGCTCAGCAGTTAAGAGCACTAGTTTCTCTTTCAGAGGACCCAGGTTCAGTTCTCAGCACTGCAGTGCAGTGCTGCAGGCAATATACTCATACACATTAAAATATAAATAAATATAATATTTTTTAATTTAAAAAAAAAGAAGTGGTGGTTTCTGAATTTTAAGTGTTACTAAGGAGAAAGCTTAGGTCTCCCAAGGCAAATATCAAAGCCAGAACTAATAGTTTTCTCATAAAGAACTTTGGAAAAACAAATCAAACAAACTAAAAAAAACACATCGTGGAAGTTCATGCATGAAGGTCATGAATAGAGAGAGCTGTTGGGTTACAGGAGGTCTGACACACAAGCTGCAGCCTTGGCAGTTAAACCTCCTGTGACGGGCTAGAGCTGGTAGCACAGCATTTGCTGGATATCCGTAAGGAGAGTCCGATGCATGGACCTCGAAATGTTTCCTAAATATTTCAAACAAATTAGATATGGTAATCTGAAGCAAAACAGAACAAATATGTGCCAAAACTGCGGAACAATTTCAAGACTATATATATA